CGCGCGCGCGCGCGCGCGCGCGCACACACACACACACACACACACACACACACACATATATACTGCCATTTCGTTTGTCTTCTTCGTGTCTCTCGTACTCTCTTTTACCTCTTTTGCGTCGTCTGTGCATTGAACATATTTTCTATTCCGTGCGAGCATCGGGTGTGTATTTGCCTCTCCTTTTTTAATGTACATGCCCGCTAAATTGCCTATATATCACTTATATTTCATTAATATATCTCGATCGCGACTGTATTAAAATTTAACATTTAAATTCTTCAATCACTACAATATTACACCGCGATATTTGTACAAAGAACAATCACATGAATTTCTTCGCGACCGCGTCACTCTCGAGACCAAGCCGCGGCTTCATTCCCCTCGTCCTTTTTCCTCGCGTTCGTAGCCACTTTGCTTCGCCTTGCAACCGTCCTTCTTCCTTCGACGTCTCTACGATCTCGTCGGCCTCCTGCGGCGTTTCATCTACCTTGTCCTTTCTCTTTTAAACGGGAACTTGACTCTGTCCTTTTCTTTTTGTATTTTTCCCTCATCCCCAAGCACCCAAGTATCACGAATTTCGACGTGTGGCGTAGTAAGAAATCATCAAGACTGCCATGGTGATCGTCCTGGAGGTCACGGATCATCGTTGTCCCCCGATTCTGATCTACGCCAACTGGAGCACAGTAGGTCCATCACGCTTTTCGTGTTGCTAGAACCATCGTTTCGCCCATTCCATTTTGCAAGTACTCCTGAAACATCCGAGGTTGGCGATCCTCAGTCTAACGAAAATGTTATTTCGAAAATAATATTAAAATAAAATAAAAATATAAGACATTTTTAGATAGAAATAATCTATTTTATTCGTAACATTGATCAATATTTTTTTTTATAAAATCTTTCTCTGTCTCTTTAAAATCTCCCTCATAAATATATAATTAATTGATTGTATTATTTTTTAATATATTATACAAGCTAATTGGACACCTCAATGTTAAAACAGTCACATATCAAGTAAAAAATACAAATTTAATTTCTGTTTAATTTACTATATTGACTATGATAAATATTAGGGAGTGTGAATAGAAAAATATTTCCTTCTAATAGAAACAAAGTCTGCAAAAATTTAGTAAATAAGAATGAAAAATAAACAAATCTTGATATTGTGAACAGAAACTTTGAAATAATAATAACAATAATAAATAGATAAATTAAAAAAAATAAGCTAGTTTCTCTGGAGTAAAAGTGAACAAGAGAATTGCGCGATCCATTTCCCTAAAAATTTCAATTATAATAAAATTGATTTAAAAGTATTGACCCAGGACGGTAATGAGATGAAACAAACATATAAGTTAATTCATAAGGACACATACTATATCCAACGTGAAAAATTAATAATCGGGACATCAGTATAATATACACAAACCTTTATAAGTGATGTCCGTAGTATTCTGGATAATGATACTGATTGTGAAAGGTAGGATCGCCGGGCGGTCGGTGCATCATGCTGGCCGCCTGTCCGTCCATCATGTAGCCCATCGTCGCATCCGGACTGTATGCCCCACTTGGTCCTGCAGACAATGGTGGAAACACTACACATTACTACGGTTAGATCTCTGTTCCGTAATTGGCAGGCGGGTACTGGACAAGCTCGCCGTGACCCCTTGCAAAGTTCTCGAGGAACTCGAGACTTCGATGCCCACTCGATACTCAGTCTCCTCATGGCAAAGAGGTAGGATGAGGGAGATCGAGAGAAGCACGTATCGGGGAGCACGGTGAGCTGTGTGATGTGATTCACCAAAGTCACGATCATATCACTGATAATTTAAGAAGCTTATATCGTAAACTTTAAATATTCTTAACATTTTTAGCGAATTCTTTTGACTCATATTTTTGCATATGTTTAGCATATTGAAGAAAGAGGAAAAGATAAATTAGTTTCCTTTGAGATAATTTCTTGAAAGAAACGTTAATAATTTAAAAATATTAAATAATAAATATAAAAAATATATGAATGCACAATAATTGGCAAAAAGCGTTTAGCGCGGTAAGCGATTCGCAAATTATGTACCGAATTAAATTTAAAATAATACATAATTAAAATAATCGAATAAAATTATATTTTTATAACATAAATATATATATATAAAACTTAATGGTAATATTACTTATAATTTAATAATATTTATAATTCGCTCGTGACATTGGCAATCGGTGTGCGTGTGTGTGCGTGCGTGTCTGTGCCTTCTTATTGATATTTCGAATTATTGATTAAAAAATTCTCTTAATATTCTGGCGGTTGTAATAGTTTATTTTTTATAATCAGTATAACATCAATAATGCATCCAGTTGCTAACAACAGTCAGTATAAATAAATTACTGTGGTTTCTACTGTTACTAATGAAAAAGAAAATAAGAATGCATGCGAACAACAGATCACTATTAATTTCAGAAAAATATCGAAGGTGTCAAGTGCAACTGAGAATTCAATCTCATCCAAGTATTTCGATGCAATGTGACGACAGCTCTCCTCTGTTCTAAGCGATAATGGAACCTCGGGATCCATGGGAGACTCCCCTAGTTTTAATGTCGGTATCTTAATGTATATTGCCACGATAAATCAAGAGCACTGATTGCGTCCTACCCTCTATGCCAGTAAATGCTCAACCGAAGCTGACGACACAAGAGAGACAAAAACAGAAAGAGTGAGATAGATAAACGAATGTCGCTGAGGTCCGAAACACTGAGGGCTCGATTGCCACTGAAATGCTTCACGAAGCTTTTCATATGCTAAAATTTTCCTCCCTCAACTTATATTTCTCAATACTATATACAGTTTGCCACTGTAGATTTATCAAGTACATATACACGCATTAACTGTGTGTAATCTTCAAATAATATAATAGTTAAGCCATCGGTTCCTAAAAATCATGGAAAAGAACACCAATTAAAGTTTATACCCGTTAAGACAATTTCCATAGATACATATAATAATTACACAAAGCCTACAGATAGTATAAAGACACAGTCTAGTATATCGCGGTTCTCCACGGTTCGCTGAATTTTCCATCAGTGATTTGTCAAAAAACGGGAAGCCCGTAATCTCGCTTCCTCCTTTCCTCCCTCATACCCTGTTGTCTTTTTCTTCATCTTCTCGTCTTGCCGAGTTCTTCTGCTTCGCAAAATACGTCGCCACGGTTTCAAACGATCTCTCCGTGCTTTACTTTGCGAGCAACCAAATCGTAAATCACAATTATTGCAAGCATCCCCTTTCGTTCAGAATCTGTCTCTTTCTTCGGTTTTCTTATAGACTGTTTTTCAACTATGCGCAACGCTCTTCAATGTAACTGTTCCTCATTCCTCGTTGCTTTTTCAATGAGCATGTTCACTATAGATCCAATAACCTCGGTAACGCGAGACACTAAGGATAACGTAAATGTTTTCTTGACATTCTAAGGCCCAGTTTCACAACTGACGGTTAACTCTTAACCGAGGTTCAACTTATTCATTATCTCTTTTCAATTCTAGAATTGGAAAAAGATGAGAAATAAGTTGAACCTCGGTTAAGAGTTAACCGTAAGTTGTGAAACTGGGGCTAAAGCTGTTCAATAAACACAGAAATATATTTAAATATAAAAAGTATTATGTTATGATCGTATACTATCAGAGTATTGCAATGTAATGTTTTAGAAAAATTATGTTAAAAAGTATGGTATTAATTCTCTTTGCATCAAAATTTAAATTTTATAATAATCTAAAATTGCACTCTTCTTATACAAAGATGTAAGTTATATAAAGAAAAACGAGGTAATTGAACAGCTTTTATATAAAATAAATCAAGTGACAATGCTGCAAGCTTTCTAAGCTTTCGCGATAAAATTATTGTGTTCGGTACAAAAAAAATTACCAAGAGGTTTTATTCAAAGGAGATATCGTGTAATAACTCGTCTATATAATAAGCTCTATTTTTTCAATTTACAAATTACACGTAAAGTGCAATAGTGCCAATTTGTTTTTTATTTCTTATCAAAGAAAAGTCGAAAGATTATTACCGATTTCGCAACAGCACCGCAAGATTTAGATGCCGTTCCGAGCAGTGAAAATGTCTTGTACGGCATGCCGCATCTCGCAATGTACATATACGTCGTCGCGTGGAATGTAGCCGCATATAATAGCGACTACGATATTTCGCTAACGAGGGATGCGCGCTTGTAGTGTGATTAAACTGCGCTATAACGCAGCGGGGCATCTTGGGATAGCCGACAATATAGCCACTATATAGGAAATTAAGGAATCGTTCTTCTCTTTGCAACGTCGACAGAAGAAACTACGAAAAGAAACCCGATAGAGTAATGGCTGAGGGGAAACGGAAAGGTAAAATCCGGTAGTGTTCCCGCGAAGATTCTTCTCGCAAAGCCGTCCCTTTCTATGCTCGTAATTTAGACTCATGACGAAGCACAGCAAAGTATCTTGAAACAAGGTACAATAGATTTAATTAAATCAGAATTATTAGTACACGACAGGAAACTTTTTTGCATGACGATACAAACAACACTAAATAATAATATTTAATATAAAGTATAATATAGAGCCTTGTATGTATAATAAGATTCAATTCTATTGTTGAAAATAAAATTAAATATATAGATTTAATTTTGTTTAAACAATTTAAATATAGTTTTTGTTTTTATATTTTACGATAAATAAAATAATAAATAAATTACTATATATATATATTGTATGTGAATGTATTGATATTTATACATGCAATATTTTTAGATATAAAAAATTAATGGAAATAAAAATTCAATGATTAACTGATCAAATCTCGTACACAGTAATAGACAATAAAAGAAACCTAAATCAGATTTATCTTGAGATAAAATCGGAATCTATAAAATAATCCCGAGAATTTCTTGTGAATAAATTACGAGTCGTATTGTGGAGGATTAAAGATGAAGATCGCGTTGTCCGATCCTTTATATGAAACCTTTGAGCTATCGCCTCGTTACGCTTTAATTAACAAAGGCGAATTATATCGCCGACTATTATCGCCGTCTTAATAGCCGTTCTTATGACGTCGGAAATCCTCGTGCGGCTTTTCAGAGTCATCCGGGGAATTCGTTGATTCTCCGACGGGGGTCGGATACCGCAGGACGAAGAACGTTATTTCTGTCTCGGACTAAGTCAAAGTAGAGGGTCAATGATGAGGTTAGAGCCCACAGTGCAACGAGACCGCACGACGCTACGAAAAACGCCGTATGGCGTAATGCGATCAAGTTCCCCGATCGAGGTCAATTCACCGCTTGTATTTCGGTATCGTGTAAATCTACAATTCTACCAACTCCTGGCATGCGTGCCCGCTTATCGTCATACGAAACCCGTTGGGAAGCGCCCCGTATAGTATATTTCAAGCTATATATTGTGATTGCTAATTTACTTACAATTAGAATGATAAGATGGGCTATGAGATGATAGAAAATGAGGTAGTCATGTGTATATGTTAATCGTCACGGCTAATAATAAAGACATTACAAAAATATTCCATTCGCGATAAAAATACGTCTTCGATTATGGATAAATGATAAAAGATAGAAGAAACGTATTTGAGTATTGCGGGGTCTACAATAAAAGTCGTAACAGTCGTAGGGTCTTAAGTCGTAGAAAATTAACCAATCAGTCGATTATTCTTCTCATATTCTACTGTGATCTGTTAATTTTCTACGACTTAAGACTCTACGACTGCTACGACTTCTATTGCAGACCCCGCTTTAGTTTTGTTTCGTTTGTGTATTTACAACCATAAAATTTAATTACCGCCACATAATTATATATTAAAGAAAGAAAAAAATGATCTCAGAGAGAGAGAGAGAGAGAGAGAGAGAGAGAGAGAGAGAGAGAGAGAGAGAGAGAGAGAATTTTCTTTTGAACTATATAGCGAAATTTTAATAAAATTCTGTGGTAATCGAACGAAGCAGTTTGAATATTTCCTTAAATTCATTAAAGGCATTATCTTTATAACTAAATAAAATTTATTATCGACTCATTAACTTGCTGCCATAGCGACCGATGGAAGAGGAGCCTGGAATTGCCTCAAGGTGAATCTAATTAAACTTTCGCGACAGACTCGTTCGAAGTGGTGGAATGTCAAAGTTCGGCCGCGAAACGGAACTACTTCCTTCAAAACAGGAGAAGAAAATAAGTTAGGAGCTTAAGGATGAACTACTTCGTAAGAAGATATGTTTTCACGGTCTTCTAGCGTCGTTAAACTAAAATTTATATTAAAGCCAAAAAATTTCCTAAGACTTTTTAATGTTATTTAAATGATAATGTCAAAATATTATATACGTATTTAATTTCCAGTACAAATAATATCGTATTGTAAAAATTTCATTTAGCTTTTCCGAACGTTATTTATATAATGTCTACGACTTGACCAGAAGTTTAACCAGAGGTTTCATCAAATTGACTATGTTGGAGGAGGATTCGGAATTGCTTCTATTTCTTGAATTATCTCATTGCATTGAAGGGGACTCAAAAAAGGAATCAAAATGTCTGCACAGCTAAATTATTCATCCTTTGCAAATGCTAT